AATTTCATTATCACTAGCTTGATAACCAAGAACATTGTCCCTGAAATTCAGTAGTTGAGCCAAAACGGCTGAACCTGACACCTACAGATTCCCTCATACCCAATGTTTTGAGAACTCGACCAGACCATCCAATTGAACCTTGATTGGAAGCACTTCGCACTTCCAGTTCCCGAAAGTTAGTAATTAATACGCCCACCATTTGCTTAGAACACGAGTTGACTGTAGTCAAACCAAGGTTTTTAAGACTGATTCGGAGAATGAATCGATCAGGGGTCTGGTTCCCGGGTTGAAGGGTTGGCCCTTTCTAATAAAAAAGTAAAAAAATAAAAACATTCAAACGATTCGAACGACTAACTACCCAGATCAGTTGTTTGTTGATCAAAATCAACACTTCTTGAAAAAAAAATCAGTTGAAGAAAAACAGAACTGATCAACTGACCGATTTTCCGGTCCGGTTTTGAAAACCATGAGTCAAACCATGGTTGAATTGCCAAATGTGTTCAAGCAGCTGGATATCTGTTCTACGAACAGTATGACTATTTAACTAGAAACCAGTTGTTTTTGGTGGAATTCTAGTAACGGCAACTGGATTTCTTTACCCTATATATATATACACTTAGACAATGCAGGACTACGAAAAGACAGAGTACTAATTTTGTTCTGTGGCATGTCTTTTCATGAATTCCAACATCACTGACGCTCGTCTCTCGGTGTTGTGAATGCCTGTGAGTCGCGCGAGTATCTCTGCTACCACACATTCACAAGGAAAGAATGAAAGAAAACTCAAAACACCCATTGTTGTAGGGTAAGGTATCCCAGAATTGCATAATAGTTATTACCTTTTCCTCTTAGTTTATGATTTTTGCAATTATTTTATACCCAAATTCAAAGCTGATAAAATGAACTAATCAGAAATTTTCAACATATCATTTTTTATTATTTCTTTTTTATAAAATATATTTACAAAATCATGTTGATGTCATGGTGGAACCATTTGATTTGACCAATATTTTAAGACTCAGCCCAGACAGGATGGTCGGACCGTGAAAATTGGGAACCGGTGGCCTTTCTGGGTTAATTAAATCGTCCGGTTAAAAGCGGGACCCGAAGAGCATTCCGAATTCCGATACACTACATTTGACTGGCAGTCAATTGTTCTAACTGTGAATCAGAAATTCAGAAGAAGCCTTTGCAGTTCATTATGCTGGTTTTTAATTAATTTCTTTGCAAAAATTGTCAGTACACTGGTCCAACGCTTGGTGACAAAAGTTGTAAGAAAGGTGAATATTGATTGCATCAATTAGCTAGCGAAGCATTACTTACATTACATATCTCTCAAACATTGGACACATCTCCCGAGCATCTTAATTACTTAATTTTCTACCCAAATGCAAAAAAAAAAAAAAAAAAACAATTTTTAGCTAAAAATTTCATAAGTCGTAGGAACTGAATCATCTTTTTCAGTCTCATGTTTTCAGCTTGTCTGTTTCTTTCTTTTTCCTCGTGTTTGTTAGCTGGGTTGCTTCATTTTATGTTGGGTTTAAGGTATTGTTGTCGATGCCACTTGTCACTGCAATGTTTGAAATTTAGGGTCTTTTTCAGAATGACAAGAAATGATGGTTGGATGGGGACCCTCCCACCGTAGGTTTCCATTTTTTGAATTCACATTTCTTTTCTAAGCAGAGAATAAGTAGTAATGGAGTGTGTAGTAAGCAAATGTTTGTCTAATGAACTGACCTCACTTGGCATTGGGCTACCCAGATGCTCATTCTCCTTATTTCAAACTTCAAACTATATATTTTCATTTGTCATCGTCTCTGATCTGATCTGATCTGATCTGGGTCTACAACAACTATTCAGGAGCTTTGCCCCATTAATTGCTAAAGGTATCCCAGTCAGAGTCAGCTGGTTGAACTATTTCTTTATTAATTTTTTTTTTTTTTTTCATGAAAGCCCTTAACCTTTGGTGCTTCAGAAAAACTATATATTCTTCCACATTTTGAGTTGCAAATTAATTGGCAAAACTCATCATCTGTCTGAGCTGGTATTTGGCCAAATTTTGTTGTTTATCTAGGAAAGTGAGAGACCTGTTAAAGCTTTTGATCTCATTCATGTACAAAGCCTTTCTCTTTTTTTTTTACTGTTAGAGATGTGTCATTTTGGAGTTGAGATCTCCTACCAACAAAACACGTCCCAACTCCCTATCAACTTCATCTAACATTGAACATCTCACTATGAGACTGGGACTCACTATAAAAGTGGGGAGCTCAGATCAGCACCCCACAGCATATCCCAACCATGTATTAGGAAGATGTTCTCAATGCACACTGAGATGGTTGTGCATGTGGGGCGCCATCAGCTGATGTGATATCAAAAGTGGGATCTACCATGAATGAAATGTGTTTTGTTGGTAGGAGATCCCGACTCGTCATTTTGTGGGATGGAATCATGGAAACCTCCAGCTACGTAGAGAATGATGCTTAAGGATTTGGTAAGAAAATTGGGTTTCTTACTGATGATTTCCAGGACATGGGTATAGTGGGTGGTGTTTTGTCATTGGCTTGGGAAAAAGCTCCATGGAAGTGGCTGTGGAATGTCATTCATTGTGAATGGCTCCTTGCCTACTTGTCTCCATATAATTCTCACAATCTCCCATTGTAGCCAGGTATCTTATGGTCCAACAAGTCAGTAATGAGAGAATGAAAATGCATCATTCCATAATCAATATGCATCCAAAGAGAGAAATCAAGTAAAAAGAACTCTTGCTATTTTTGCTTTCTTGCTTTCTTTTGGACTTTTTGTTCTTTCAGTCCCCTGTAGGGATTTAATAACGGAAGGATTGTGCTTGTGCATGCGGGTTGTTATGTAATGTGATCCCAAGTTCTACCCCCACAAAAAAAAAAGCCTTCAGAACTTTAATTATTAACTGGATTATTCTGTTTTGTTGTACAAATCAGCTTCATATTTTTTTCTCTTGCTATTTCCAACATTGTATTTGAGATTTGAACACATCTTAAGATGTGAAAAAAAAAAAAAAACTGGTAAGTAGATTAGCTCGTTTGTATTGCCCAAAGCAACCATTTCTTTTGCTAGGCTAAAGAACAAAACCAGAGATGATATAGCCATGCTTGCAGTTTCTTTTTATCTAGTTGGATTCGCTTTTTGTATATTGAGATATTTGACAATATACTAAATATATAGATGAAATTATTATAATATGCAACCAATGTACCAGTATATTAGTTAGTGCAACTCAACTCTTAGTCTCTTTTATTAAAAATAAAAAAAATAAAAAAATAAACTGTTATTTTCCTAGGATTTGGTCCTAAGCCCGCTTTGGGATGGGTCTTTGGGCTTGTACTCTTGGCCCGATAAAGTGTTACTGTGCAGCTGCCAGGCTTCGGACTGGGCTTTCCTCTACCTGTGCTAAGCCAGGCCCAAGTCGACCTGGCCCATGATCGTCCTCAGTTTCTCCTCTTTAGACATCTCAGTTCAATCTTAGAAAAAATTACTCTGGGTATATTCTATGAGATATTGCAATTTCTAAAAACAGCTTTACCCATAGAAACGAGAATAGATTGGGGGAATATGTATTTATTAGTTATACTTTATGAGACAGAATGGAGTAAAGCCATATTTTTCACATCTGAAATTTCCTTGTGCAACCTAAGTTATTACCACTTTGACTCTTGAAATCCAAGGGAGTAAAAATATCACTAAATAAGAGGGGTCTTTTTGAAATCAAAGATGGTTTTCATGGATAGAAATGTAAACAAAGATGCCAGAGGGTATAAGATGTAAATCTAAACTAAATATGCCATGGGTAGTTGAATGAGTTTCACCTTTTAAATAATTGAGAAATATGGAGCTGAATGTTCCTTAAGGTGTACTGATCCTTCTCAAGTGGGCCTGGCCAAAATCAGAGACCTAAATCAAACAAACAATGGTATTATATTGTACTAGTGCTGGACCTTGGTGGGGTAATTGGAGGAATATTAATTTTCAGTTCATTCAGATATATTCAACTCATAGCTTTTGGCCCATTCAAAAGTGGGGGGTTCTTGCAGCATCCAAACCAATTGCCTTTTGTCCAAAACACAAAATCCCTTCGTGCAGTGTGGCTGCTAAACCAATAGTGGTTGAGAAATCATCCAACAAACATTCCTAAAAGAAATTTTCATCTTCTTTATGGGGGGGGGGGGGGGGGGGGGGGGGGTGGTTTTTTGTTGGGGGGGGGGGGGGGGGAGAGGTATTGGTTGTTATAGTGGTCTGCCGAGTTTGGGTGGGCTTTTTGTACTGTTCTAAAACATGTAGAATATTCATCTGGTGAAGATAAGAGAGAGAGAGAGAGAGAAATCTTTCTGAAAGCAGGAATCATCCCAAAAGCAGTCAACCCAAGCTTCGCTCCCTTCATCCCAAAGGTATCAAATCCAGAACCCCATAATTCAATTCTACTCAAGTTTTTCTAACTTTTGTGTGTGTGGGTTGGAATAGTTTGTATGTAGAGTTGTACACAGAAGATTGGTTAAAGTTTTGTCTCAAACGACGTCAATTTTGTGATTTGAAAGGAATAAAGAACATCATGAAAAAAAAGGGCATAAAGTCTGGTTTGCATAATCTTTGTATAAGGGCTTGTAAGAGAATTTTAAGTGTAGGATTAGAGAAGATATGATTATGTCACCAGAAAGCTATCCAATCTGATTGGCCCATATTCACTAAGGCTGGCAATGTTAAAGCAAGCTTCAGTTTCATCTATGTCAGGGGGGTTTTGCCTGTTCCAAGAAAATTCATTGGGTTGACTGGTATGTAATTTGCAAACCCAATTACAGATGGGGATTTGTTGGGTTGTTAGGAGGGGTAGTGTTTGGTAATTAGCATTTAGCACAAGCTTGAAACAATACTCTACTTGGGCTAATGGGTTTTCCCTCCAAAGTCCAAACACAGCTAGCTTGGTGCACTCTCATGGGGATGGGG